AATATTATTTTATATGTGTATGTGCGTTTTTGTTTCTATATGTGTGTGAGTGTGGTGTGTGTTTTATATGTTTAGGTGTGGAAGAGTTAGGACAATATTACCAAAAAATCAAGGGAAACAATTAGACAATAAAAGCAGACCCATTGGTAATACATTGATCACTGTTGGAGGGTTAGATCACTGTTAGAAAACTAAATCATTATTCTTTTTTTTTAAAGGTTTTATTTATTTATTTGACAGAGAGAGAGACAGCGAGAGAGGGAACACAAGCAAGGGGAGTGGGAGAGGGAGAAGCAGGCTTCCCGCTGAGCAGGGAGCCCGATGTGGGGCTCGATCCCAGGACCCTGGGATCATGACCTGAGCAGAAGGCAGACGCTTAATGACTGAGCCACCCTGGCGCCCCCTAAATCATTATTCTGAACATTTCTAAGGAAAAGAAAAGAATCATCCATTTGGCTTGTGTTTTCTGTTTGAACTCTACATCAGAGGAACTAAATAGCTGTTGAGGGGAAATTCTACTTTAGAAAAGAAATCTAGTTGACAAATATAGAAAGGATGATAGAATTATAATATTACCATTTTGTAGTTTTGTAATAAAATAGTTGATCTTCATAATGATCATCAGTGACTGCTAAAACCATTAGGTGAAAGGCTGTTGGGAAGTTTCATAATGTGTGCATTAGGCTGACCACACTTGAACCCAATGATCAATCTTAATGTGATTAATAGACAACCCAATTTATGTGCTTTTTGGTGTGGTATAATAAGGAGTAAACACTATCTCCTATAAATTATACTCCCTGTACAAACAACCCCTTTCAGATTCAGTTTTTTCATCCATAAAGGATTGTTGAAAGAGTAAATGTGAAAATGTTTCCAAATAGCAAAATGCTCTCCCAGTTTAAGACATCACTATTAAAACCCTTCCTCTGAAGGATGGAGGGACAAAAGCACAGACAAAAGACCCAGGTATTTTAAATCTCAGTGTGATTTAGCGTAGACTAATTCAGAGTATCTCAAACTTTACTTCATTTTACTTATGAATGTTAACCACTTTCCTTATTCAAGAATTTCCATAACTTCTACTAGAAAATAAACTCTTTTCTCTCCAGATTGTGGGGGATGGTGTTGGGGGTGGGGTGGGGAACAACGTTAGTGACATTGAATGGATGTGGCAGGAGCAGGTGAAAGCTAGGTACAGAGCAGGTTAGCTGTCTGTGTCTGAAGTTGCATATCTATGATAGGGTTTGGAGGTGAGTCTACTTTTAGCAGAGAGAAATGGTCTATACAATTCCAGATGGTCAGTTTACCATGGAAATAATAATGGGGCAGCTGTCCAAAGTAATCATAAAGATTGGCAGCAACCACTCAAGGGGCAAATACACAGTTGGAGAGTGCCTGGTTTCCTGGCCCCTTACCCAGCTGTCTTACTGTTACACTACAATGAATGAAACCTGCTTGTAACAACTTCTCAAGTTCATGTGAAGAATAATTCCTAGCACAGAAACTGACGTATGAATGAACTACTGTAAAGAAAATAACACATGAAAACAAAGTCATATGGGACTAAGTATACCCGAAGAGAGATGGTCTTTTCTACAAAGGGAGATTTGGACAATGCGAATAGATGAGAGAAACTGTAACAAGCAGTGACTCTATAGAAAGAAAAGAGAAGAGGAGAAAAAAGAAGGAAGAAAGAAAGGAAAAAAGAAAAGAAAAAGAGGAAGAAAGGATAATAGAAGGGAAGAAGAGAAAGAAAAAAAGAGCAAAAGAAAAGAAACAAACTGCACTTTCAGAAGAAATTGAAGAGGAATCTTTCTTACTAAATTTCTGGGGTTTCTTTAAATCCACAGTTTCTGCCAAAAGATTCAAGCACAGATTTGGGACTTATATTTGTCAAGTCTCCATATGCTGCATTTTCCCTCCAAGCTTTTACTTGGGCTTGCCGAATCTGTGGTTGGTTGAATATGTGGTTTTACAGTTGCTAAAAATACCCTGAAGTCAAGCTCCTCTCAGTTTTTGTGCAGTGATAAAACAGACACTCTAGCATCAGATTTTTCAAGGCTTTGGCCTGTAACCTTTAATCAACCACCCCTTTCATAAAAGTAAGCCCTGTAGGCATAGGTCATTTACATTTCACTTCAACACAAAGTGAGTCAGAGACTGAAGAAAATGGCACTATGAAGGAAATGCTATGATTTTTTCAACTACTTCAATCAATAGTGAATTAAGGTGGCTTTGGGATTGCTGGGAGTTACTGTATGGAGTTTGGCTGTCAGTATGAATGCCACCTCTGAAGGAACCCCAGAACTGTCCACTAACTGCAGCAGTTAATTCCAAGTCAGAGCCAGAGGCCACAGAGCTCCCACCCCAGTCCCTGGGAGACAGAAGGGCTGTTGTCCAGGCATGCCACACTCTGTGCACGTATGCTAATGTCAGCACGTCAAGTCTCTGAGCTGTCAGGTCGTTTCCCTGTGGTTATCATCATACACACACCCGGCAGACAAGACAAGCTACATCATTTGCACGGCCCGGTGCAAAAAGAAAACATGAGGCCCCTGGTTGAACACACAGAGGGAAATGTTAAAGAGACTACAATACAAAGCCTTTTCTCCTGTCGTCTCTCTCTCAACCTGTCTTTGTGGTTTTTTATTTGCCACTTAATGCTGCACTGCCGTGCAGGGTGGGGAGAAGAGACTTGGGGGACAAGTGCATACTCTGCCATGTGCCGCGGCCTCCACTCTGTGACTCCATGCACGTGCAGCCTTCAGGCTGCCAGATCCCCCCCCTACCCGTCCAGTCACTGGGCAGACACTCCAGGGAAATTGAACCAAGCATCTCCCGTTTCCCTTCCCTCCTACCCTCGCCCCTGGTAGACCGGTGATCTCCAAAGGTATTACAACAACAGCAGGTGAACTAGAAGGTACCTGCATGGAGGGTGGGTGAGAAGCTCACCCCTGTGGTGTTGCCTATCAAATGCACTGTGGCCCTGCTAGTCCAGGGAGGGGACGGCCAATCACTGTCTGGAGATGCTATGCAACATGTGCACTTGACCCTGATTTGATCTTCCTGCACCCCTGCCAGTGGTGGAGAGTGGCAGTGATTCCTGGACAGGGCCAGATAGTGAAGCCTCGGAGGGTCCCAGGGGGCACCAGGGAAGTCAGGGAGGCAGGACCATAGGTAAGCTGAGGCTCCAAGCCCCCAGTGCAGATTTCAAAATGATGACTGTAGACCACTAAATCCCAAGTGCAGGGACCTTCTGATGAAGGGCATGTGGTGCATTTGTATTGGACACAAGGTCCTGAGCCAGCCCGGGTGGGATCCTGGCTTCCCAGCACCATTGGATCAGGCCACATGTAGACATTATCTACAGGTGGAATTAACTAGGGGAGTCAAGGGACGCAGGAAGTTTGGCAAGGGAAAGCCAAATGCCTTGAATGTATTTCTGCCTTCCTTCCTGAGAAATGAAGTTGTTTTATTATTTTGTAGGTTAAATGTTCTTTCTTACTGATAGCTTCATTTATATAGTCGAACATCATACTTTTATCCCTGGTCATCTACTTGCTGATGTTTTCATTGTTGTCATCATTTTTGTGATTTCAGGTGGGCATATTGAATATCAGGGACATATTACTTCAGCAAGCTTAATAGCAAACATTATCTCTGTCTATTTTTTTTTTAAATAAATGGATTATTGCAGTAGTAATGAAGTTACACCAAGGTGTTTCAAGTTTTTATCTCTGGGCGAGGATTTCAAATTATTCTGGGTAGATCATGTACTTTGAAATGGTTTATTGAATGGCCCAAACTTGGAGGGAATACACATACTGATTAATTTTATTTTTCTCTTTTACCTTCAACTGTGCTATGGAAGACTTTTTTCCCACCTTCTACATTCAGATCAGATTCCTTGATTTCAGGAATTGAAAAGCTATTCCAGTGTATTCTTGTTTCAAACCTCAAATTCACATCTCTCCTTTCTAGCACGTGCCAGGCCTCAGTCTGGAATACATGGAATGGGAAGGGGCATGGTCTGCTCCTGCAATATCTCTGGCTCCTCCCTTTTGTTTCCCCTCCTCTGTCTGCTTTAATGGGAAAAAAGATAGGAAATATAGCCAAAGTTTTTGACTTGCCTGCAGCTGATGTGGTCCTCTTCTGATTAACAATGGATAGTTGTCACCAGGGTCTTGGGGTAGGCGGCCCAATGCTGATACATAGAGGATATTTGTGAGTTTTTAGGGACCCTCTAGAGGGGACTTCATCACTGAGAGTTCCTTCATATTGAGATTCCCCCCAATTCAACCAACCTCATCCATCCACCCACAGCCCACCTGCTGATGGTTCACCTTTAGCATCTTGTTCCTGAAATTCTTTTCTGTGATTGGCAGCCGTCTTAGGTGGAGTGATAACAAGATGGTTTTATCCCACTATCTTCTGAAGGGCTGCTTAACTCATGGGAAACCCACTTATCCTCACTCCAACAAATGATGGTAAAAGGCCAACTGCCCATGGCTGTCCCATTAAACTTGCCATGACCAGTCAATGCTCTTCTTCCCTTATCAGATCATCCTATGTGCTGTATAAGGAGACCTCTAGCCAAGGAATGAGATGACATTCTCCCCAAGTGGCAGATTCCTCCAATCTCTCACCACTCCCCCTCTCTCCACCATCAGATACATTTGATCCTGTGAGGGCCAAGAGATAAATGTGACTTTATAGGAAGTGACAACAATGCATTTGTGATAACATAAGATGAAAGAAAATTAGCAATGCAATTGAAATTCACAACATAAGACATAAATCCATGAACATACTTTAAGGGGGTGATGGGCGGGAAGATTGAGCCTGCATCGGTGTGAGTGGAGGTGGAACCCACGGCCACCAGGAGGAAAGGGGGTGTCCAGAGTGGAGGGAAAGAGCTGATTTTGGACAGACAGACACACAGCAGAAAAAAACATCTGCCACTTGGAAGGAGATGGTCCCATAAGGTAAAAGAAAGAATGCACTCCACTGATGTGGCTTTCAGAAATGAGCCTGGCGGTAAGAAATAGCCAGCCAGTGCAGGGGAGACACGTGGGGGAGGAGATGACATGGAGAAAGGCTCAGGAGCCAGGCTAGGCCCTGGCCCAGGCCCAGGCACCACCTGAGTGGTGTGATCACTCTATCTGTACACGTGTATAACCACTCACTCACTGGGTGTCTTTTTCTTTTCAATCTTCAGGAAGAGGCAGCCAGAATTCTCGCCCACCAGCCAATGTCCGTCGGCACATGTGCAGCTTTGAAAACCCCCACACTGCAGTGAATGTGTAAGATAAGCTGCATGGACAATGTAGTGGTCTGCCCCTTGCTTTCTCTCTCCTGGGTTTTTCCACTTTCTAACATGGAAACAGATGTGCATGCCATCAAGAATGAGGAACCATTTACGTGCCATGGTTTGCACGACTGCCTTAATTTGATTGTCCATCGTTCTTAAAAGGGCACTGTCAAGTTGTTAGTCTTTTTGCTTTTTTAAGTTTCAACGCAAGACACAACACTTTTTCCAATTCTGGAGATTCACTTTTGTTTGTGACTCCTACTCACAAGCTCAAAAGTGAATTTTCCCCCTTCATAAATTTGTCAGCTTTTCCTTGGCAAACAGAGCTCTTTCTTTTTTTTCTTTCTTTTCTTTCTTTTTTTTTTTTTTGCCTTTTTGCTGTTGCACAAATGTTTGAAATGATGCTGTCTGCATTAAAGTAAAAGCTATAACTCGAACTTATGGAGAGTTCCGTAATGTCAGCTCGAGGGGGTGGGCACTGACGCGAGCCTCTGCTGGGTGCCTCCCACAGCCTGGGGAGCCCAAAACAAAAGTTTTGTGAGTCTTATGAAAAGAGAGTATTACAAAAAGGAAATGTAGTTATTTGTCCCCAGAATTCTGAGTGTTTTTATCAGATTTTTGCCATCTGATAAAAATGGTGCATGTTTGGTCCAATTTTTGACCTTTAGATCTTGACAGTGTCTCTTTAAGTTAACAAAAGAACATAGACCATGTTCAATTCATTGTGCACGGAGTCTGTGGTCATTTTTCAGCTGTTCCTTTACAGCCCATCAAACTCCTGGGAGAGTCAAAGGTACACATTCCTGCAGCAGGAGGGAGTCCACTGATAAGGTGTCTGTGGCTTGAATAGCTCTTCAGATGAGAAGAGCGCAATTTGTTCAAATGTTTGCTACTGAACCTGGCTATGGAGGCCAGTGTATGAGGCCACAGCGTCTCTTTCTTCACTCAGTGGAGTGCATTGGGAAGTCTGTGTTCTGATACTCCCTCAAAAAGCCCAAATAGAAAGAGTGTGGTCTCATTCAAATCATACTGATTCTTTAAGGGAAAAATATGGTAGCCATGCCAGTGTGTTTCAGGGTGGTGGTCAGGAGGCCCCTGCTCATTGAGATCAAAGCCATTCAAGTCTGCTTGGATGCACTGTCTGTAATTTTCCCAAGTCAAAAGACATTGAGCATTTCTTGCAGCCTGGGCTGAGTCTGACCAAGGGCACAGCAAGGAGATCCTGATTATGACAGCTCCTGGCTGCCTGTCAAAAGGGATTGATGGGAATAGTAGATGTGCTTGTCTTGCTGTGACAGCAGGGCAGAAAGAGAGGAGAGTCACCTAACATTTCATGACTTAAAGGTGAGTGCCTAAAAAAGCAAAAGCAAAGGCTGAAAGTGGGTACATTCTTGGTAGGTGATTAAAAAAAAAAAAAAGCCACAATCAGCAAAGCTGATAGGTTGGTTGTTAAGAATTCTCGGAATAGGATCTGTTCAAGCTTTCTTTCAGGAGACTATAAAGGATCGGGAAAAGATTGAGAAGAGACTCGCAATTTTTAGCCTTGGCTGTTCCTCAACAAACAACAACAAAAAAGATACGTTCTCTCTGTGACCTTCAGTTCCCACAGCTTTTCTGAACAATCCAGGCCAAGGGACTAGTAATGGAGATAAAGCTGCCTACTGGACCATTGTGGTCTGCCTAGATCTATCCTGTTTCTGAGGAATAATCCCAGCAGAGCAATGCAATTGCCCTATGTTTCCAGAGCAAACCATGAGGACTCCAGGTTAGAGCTGAGGAACATCAAATGACTTGCTATTAAAATTACAGGTGTGGTAGCATGGGGCATAGAAATACAATAATGCTTGACTTGAAGTTCCTTCAAAGGGAATGGAATCTAGATACTCATTTGTACTTCCCGGAGGAATATAATTACAGCTGGTATACCTCTGCTAAAACAATAGTCCTGTACCAACATGATGTCTTCAGTAAACTTTGGCATGAGAATTTCTTTCCTCAGCCAGGAATCATGATTAGGTTGAACCAATGGCTATTTAAAATGTACTTAGAAAAAATTTAATAAACATCAGAATTCTACTCATTAGTTTGAAACAGATTTGTCAGTTTTCTCAAGACAGTAGACCCTATACCCAGACAAAGTTTATGGAGCCTCCCATACTTTGGTGAGCTCATTTTGTTTGTGGATGTCTTTTTCTTAATTGATTCATTGAAGAGAGCACAAAGCTTAATAAAGGCAAACTGATTTCCCTTGTGCTGTTGTGTATCCTGTATCGTGTATCCTGTATCATATAACTTTAACATATAGAATGTGATTCATCTAAAGATTTAAAAGGAGGACTGTATATTTAGACTTTGAGGTATTATAAATTTTGGCAAGCCAAGTGGTTCTCTGACTAGCTTATGATGTTAGGATTAGAGGAGAGGGATAAATCCACAATGCTATTTAAGACTGATATCTGCAGAAACTACGAAGTTCCCATGTAGTCAAAAAGCATTTGTCTCCAATAACACATCCAGAGATTTTCTACCTTACTAGTGGTGAATCCAAAAGGTGAGAAATTTTAATTATGTTCACATAGGCTTCCAGAGATTATATACTGAATATGCAGATTTTTCTGGAAAGCCTTCAAAAGTGTAACTGGCATCAGTGGAAGTCCTTTGTACTGAAGACTAACTTGGCGTTGCCTGGGAAAACAAGAGTCTGACTCATAAGGCTTCAAATAGTTCCGATGCCTGCGATTCTACAAGAATCACTACTCACACTTCCTTCTGGTACCAGCTGCGTGAAGCAGGAAGAGGCGAGGCATTTGGACAACACATGTCTGGCATCCCTTTCCGAGTATCTCAGTTGGGGCAGCACCAGCCTTTTTGGAAAGGCCTCGTGTCCCCACCACAGCTGCACGGCCCCAGCAAAACTGCCCATAAGCCTGTAGCTTTGGTTTCTTTTCTGGACTTGGTAAGCCGTTCTCTCCATGCCGTGACTCAATGGCATTTCCTGTTTCCTCTTTCATTTTCAGAGAAAACACATGCTAACCTCTTCAGGTTCCAAGGACTGAGTCTCCCCTCCTTCTGCTAAGGTCTTGCCTTGTCTGTGGGCTCTCTGGATGCCATCCTTATGTCTGTCGTGAAGCTATTAAGCCTCATGGCAAAGACTTGAATTGGACATAAGGGAGACAGGTGTTGTGTAAGCTTCCCCCTCAGGCAGCTTGTGCAGGATGCTTCCCTCCTGATCTCAAACACCCACCCACTGTTATTCCCATTTTAGACCTCTCTGGAGCAGAGAGCAATGTACCCTGCAGATGTAACTAGTACTTACTGAAACAAATAGAACAGACAAGATCACTCCGAATGCCAAAGATATACTAATCTGTTGACACCACCCACTTCTAACCATTCTCTAAAGTGCTGTAAATATTGGGTTTTCTGTTTGGGGGGGATTGTTAGACTAATCTAATGAGAGAAAAACCAAAGCAAGATTCCAAGCCTGTCATGGCTGGCTCGGCAGTCCCAGGCCTGCTTGGCTCTGCACACTCCCAGTGTAGATCACCCTCTACATCCTGGTTCCTCTCAAGCCTAGCAGCCATTTCCTCCAATAACTTCTATATCAATAAATATATTTAGCCACCTGAGGTATTCACGCCAAGTGCTACTGCATTTGATCTTCAAATATGAGATTGTTTTAGGCCTGATGTCTGCCTTCTGAAGTGAGAGCAGGAAAGGTGGGGTGTTTTGCGACAAGTACGTGGTGTTTCTAGATCAGGTTGCTTTTCCTAAGACTTCTATTTAGGAAACCAAGTAAAATTAAATAATAAAAGGAAGAAGTTGGTGGCTGAAACGGAAGGTATTAAAGTTATCTGGGATTAAATAGAAGACTTATTTCATAGTAATATTGCATTTTGATAATGCATTTACTCCTTTCTGGCTGCCCCATATTTTATACATTTTTCTCTTCTTAATATCATAGCAGTGGGCTCCCAACCTTTTAAAATAGGGAAATCCCTTTTCACACCAAAATGCTTATTAAACCTTCACTCGAATCAATGATAATAATTGTACTTTTTTTTTAGTAGCCACTTGAACATAAAACACAAAAAAGCTTCTCAAATTTAGCTACACATGTATCTAGCAGCACATTTTATCATGATAGCACTTACATGCATTTGAAAATAGGAGTGTACAATCTATCAAGACATAATATTGATCCAGTCTAAAAACAAAGCTTATCGCATGTGTAGATTCATGGACCATTCAAGCTGTATACGGACCACATGTCAGAAACATCTAATTCAGAAGGACTGAAGTTTATACACTGTCCCGAAGTTTCTATGAGATGATACATTTCCTTCACTATCTCTGGTTTTTAGGAAGCAATTTATTTTGTCCTTGGAAAACAAAAGTTAATCTAATTTTCTTAATCTGATAAATGTCCTGGGACATTCAGAACTATTTCCTAATTAAACAGTTCTTTACAGCAAATCTAGAGCAAGACTCTGAGGGGAAGGGCTGCTAATTTTGACAGCCAGGGTGAAAATCTCCCATTACAAGAGTAAAAATGGTATTGGATTAAAACAGAACTAAGATGTGATTTTATCTATATGCAAGATGATTAATAATATCATTAAAATAGGGAAGCGCATGATTTAAATAGAGGCCTACGTAGGGCCCTGGGAAGTGAGGAAAACAGCCCATGTGAGTGAGTGAGTGACGTTAAGTCCCAAGAATACAAGGATGCCTTTTTGCCAGCATCTATGGAGACTGGAGCAATGGTTTGTTGCGGTATGTAAGCCTGGTGGTTAAGTAAGGTGTAGACTAGCTCTCAAGGGACTTGTTTCTTAAACACCCACACATACACACACATATGCACACACGCGTGCGCACACACACACACAGCTAAATAAAGACACAAAGCATCCTTTTAGTTTAATGATTTCTTAAAAAAATAAGCATTGAGAGGCAGGCATTGGAAGAAGGAATAGATGTTTCCATTGCAATTGAAAGTGATGCAAATCAGGGGCTCCTGGGTGGCTCAGTCCGTTAAGCATCTGATTCTTGATTTCCGCTTAGGTCATGATCTCAGGGTCCTGGGATTGAGCCCTGCATTGGGCTCCCTGCTCAGGGTGGAGTCCATGCCCAGGGAGGAGTCTGCTTGTCTCTCTCCCTCCCCCTCTGCCCCTCTCCTCACTCATACTCTTTTTCTCTCTCTCAAATAAATAAATAAAATCTCTTTTTTAAAAAGTGCAAATCATTGAGGTTGGATGGTACACTAAAGCATATTTAAGAGGCAAGGCAAGAGGCAAATCTGTGGTTTTATACTTTCTGAAAGAGTAGTAATGAACGTATAAAGAGAGAGACGGTCTGAGTAGAGTAAGGATTGGAGGAAATTGAGAAAGAAGGAGGTGGGAGGTGAGCTCACCTAAAGTTTCAAACTCAGAAGAGGAACTGTGGCTTGTGGTCTTGGTTACTGACTGGTTGATTGTCTGTTCATGCTGGGAACACCAGCCGTCTGTTCTATAGTTGACTCAACTCGGAAGAAAGGTATTCTAACAATAGTGTGGAAGCTGAAAAGCCAGGAATTTTGCATTTACAAGTACTTCTACATTCTCAGCAAATATATTAAGCATATATTTCAGAGAAATATTAATTTTCACAAAGTGTTTTGGAGATGAAATTTTTCTTAGACAATTAAAAATATAACATAAATGGGGTGCCTGGGTGGCTCAGTTGGTTGAGCATCCAAGTCTTGGTTTCCGTTCAGGTGGTGATCTCAGGGTTGTGAGATCAAGCGCCCCCAACCCCATTGTTGGGCTCCACGCTCAGCAGGGAGTCTGCTCAAGATTGTCTCTCTTTCTCCTTCTGCCCCTCCCCCTGCCTGCAGCTCTCTCTCAAATAAATATACATATAGCATATAAATTATAAGAAAGAGGAACTGCCTTTTCCCAAATAATGAGTTCAAAATTTTAACTATTATATCTATTTTAGGACTTTTATATCCAGAATTTTCTATAATAGGTATCAGAATTTCTGCAAAACTCTGTATTTATTTGGCTCACTTCATTTTTCAAAATTATAATATGTAAAATGTCAAAATATTATCCTCATCATAAATGCAACACGCATGATTTTTGAAGTATTCATTCTTGCATTTTCAAAATGATTAAATAAACCATTATATTAACTATTGATCACTTCCTACATTTTTCAAAACCAAAGACCATGATACAGAATAGTCTATTTCACATATCCACCTAAGAAAAAAATGTTCCTTATCCCTATTCCTTTTACTTTCAAAAATGTGTTAACATTGTGCTACCTTCTCTGTTGTTTTCATGGATACAGTGAAAAAGCAAACTCAAAAAAACAACAAAGAAAAGAACAACACGCACACACAAGAAAAAATATTTCCTGATATAAGTATTAACACTGCTGTTATTAATAGTGTGCTATGGTAAGTTACCACCATCTCCTAAAAGTTATACAGAAAAAAAGCTAAAAGTCCAAAAGTAAGACCAGAGTTATTACAACATGCAGAATAGAATTTGAATGATATACACAATACCTCTCTTTTCTTCCTCCTTCTCCTCCTCCACCTTCTCCCACTTCTTCTTCTTCTTCCTCCTCCTCCTCCTTCTTCTATTTGATTGGTTTTTTGATGGTCCCATGAAAATGAAAGTTGATAAAGCAGGAGGGCTGCTGGTTCCCTAACATTTTTCTTCTCCAAAGCTCAAAGAGGAAAAGGCCAGGGAGGGACCTTTGTCTCCATAACTTCTGCTTTCTCTGAATCTTAATTTTGTCTCATTTTCATCACAAACTATGTTGAAGGACTAAACCAGGGTCTGAGCATCTGTATTTTGCTGGGCTTCCTGGTTCTATCTCTTTTCAAACACACCTAGTTAAAAGTCCCCAGCGGGGAAATCCCAAACTAGCTGCTATGAATCAGGGCCTTTATGTGAATTGTGATTCATTGTATGTGTCGGGAATAATGCGTTGGAATAAAAAGAAAAGCCAAAGTTATGACACACATAAGTGGAACATGGGTCTGGGTTTTCTGTCATCCGCTTTTTTCTCTTCTGGACAGGTGCCATGTGTCTGACCTTGCTGCTCTGGTACCAGGAAGGTACCTATCAGAAAGGGCGACTGAGGGGATATATTTTATAACCCCACAGGACAATGAGAGTAGCTTAATATGTGGGTTTTATTTTGTTCCAGGGACTTAAGAAGAAAGGGAGGCAAGAGCTCCGGGCATTACGTTCAGGTGTCCATGTGTAACTACAGTGTTATTTCTTATTTGTTTCCTCCATCAATTGTGGAATCTTTCAAAGGCTTGCACTGAGTGGCGATGTTGTGGTTACCTTAAGGGTATGTGTGTGTACCTGAGGGTGTAATAGCTTTGTGAAATCTCAGACCGAAATGAAAATAGCTGCTTCTGCAGCAGCCTGGCGTTTCTCCCCCTGGGACTTTCTCCGGGTCAAAGTGTTCTGCCTTGTCTTGGGGTTGATGGAATCACTGACCAGCTACAGAGGCAAGCTGTGGTCACCGCAGCTTTTGGCCTTTGACCTGTGATAAGGGGAGGTTAAGGGTATGGAGGCCGGGCACACTGGGGCGGTGGGGGGGAATCAAATTGCATTGAGCTGGGATTGCGTATAATTTATATATATTTTCTCTTGTGTGCACGGTATATCTGCAAATAAATCCATCTCTATTTTATTCATAGTTCTAATGGCAAGTCTGTGTCATGGTCTGAACCAGGTGGAAGACAGGTGCCCAAGGGCCAGCACGTGTGGCACCGCCTGTCTGTGCACGTGAAGACCAATGAGACGGCCTGCAACCAAACAGCCGTCATCAAGCCCCTCACTAAAAGTTACCAGGGCTCCGGTAAGAGCCTGACCTTTTCAGATACCAGCACCAAGACCCTTTACAACGTGGATGAGGAGGATGCCCAGCCTGTTGGCTTCAGCCCTCCCAGCAGTCCTTCTATGGTGGTGCCCCGACGCGTGCCACCCGCGGTGAGCACCCCGCCTCTGCCGCCCCACTTGACCACAGAGGAGACCCCCCTCTTCCTGGCAGAACCGGCCATCCCCAAGGGCTTGCCCCCTCCCCTCCAGCAGCCACCGCAACCGCAGAAATCCCTGATGGACCAGCTACAGGGAGTGGTCAACAATTTCAGCACCGGGATCCCAGATTTCAATGCGGTGCTCGCAGTCCCCGGGGGCCCGGGGAACGGGGTGCGCTCGCTGTTCCCGCCCCCGGTGCCTCCGCAGCACCTGCAAATGCTCCCGCTGCAGCTGAGCACCTTCCGGGAGGAGCCCGCCTCCCCGCCAGCAGAAGATGAGGACGAGGACGACAGCGAGAGGTTCAAGCTCCTCCAAGAGTACTTGTATGAGCGGGAAGGGAACACGGAGGAAGATGAACTGGAAGAGGAAGACGAGGACCTGCAGGCGGCCAGCAAACCGGCCCCCGAGGATTCGCCTGCTCTGACGCCTCCGTCGCCTTTCCGCGACTCGGTGGCCTCGGGCAGCTCGGTGCCCAGCTCCCCCGTGTCCGAGTCGGTGCTCTGCACCCCTCCCAACGTGACCTACGCCTCGGTCATCCTGAGGGACTATAAGCAAAGCTCTTCCACCCTGTAGGAAGGAGGTGTCCACATGGAAAAGCAAGAGAAACCATGAGCACCAGCACCTCCGGAGATGTGCGGACAGCTGGGAGGAGGAGATTCGGGAGAGGAGGGTGAAGTCAGAGGGAAAGGGAGACGAAGCTGCTGCCTTAGGGAAGGCCAGAGGGAACTGTGCTCTGCAATCAAAAAAGGAGCCCGGCGAGGATCCCGATTCTTGAATTATTCAAAAGCTTTCTCTGGGAAGAAAGGGAATTCTGACAAAGCACAATCCCATATAGTGTACAACTTTCACCGCATAAATAAATAAATACATACATACGTACATAAATAAATAAATCAACAGAAATAATCTCCTCTTTTGGACAATTGTGCATAGATATACGTGCCCACACACACTTGGCCAGTTTGAAAAGAGACAGCACATGTGGACCAGCCAGGTGGATCATTAGTTGACATCATGGTATTCATGGTAGTCATAGTGAGCGTGATGGAGCCAGGCAGACCGGGTGGGTGAAGGAGGGGCAGGCATGGAACCACCCATGGCATGGCAGCTCATTTTTCTCTACCCTGTCTCCTTACTGGTGTTCAGGAGCCTCGGAAACTGGCCCAGACAGGGGCCTCTCTTCACCCATTGCACCTGATGCAGAGCCAGCCTTGTCACATTTGGAAAAAAGTGTATGGACACCCTGCTGCTCTGTGATTTCTCTCTACTTAGGAAAACAGGAATCAGAGCAAAAGCATCACCAAAAAGTGCTTCATCAGGAGTGCTAAGGGAGGATGGAGTGAGAAGCAAGACAGTACGTAAGCATGAGGTGGTGAACACAATCAGCACAGATAACGTCTCATAGTTGATACTCACTTATTGGTGATTTTGGAAAAAAACGCTGGAACAAGAGATTGTTTTGAGAATGGCAGAAGATGTTTTGTGGATTATCTTGTGTTTGTGCCAAGGGGGGCTCTTCTCTGCCCTTCAATTAAAGAGAACAAACCATGTGGCAAAATTGTTACCTTACATTTACTGTAGCAAATATTATTACCAGTTGAACTCCTATGATGCAGTATGTGTATTTGGTGCATTGTTTCTCCTACATACTACAGAAACTACAGAAACAAATCCATCCTCGAACTTAATGGTGTACTCACAGCAACTATTACTGGTTCAATGACAAATAATTCTTTCCTTCTGTCATCCAAGTCCCTGTAACTAGTACGTAAATGTGTTCCTGTGTCCTTGTATATGTGTGATAATAAAATTTGTGCAATGTAACGTCAGCGGAACTTCGACTGGAAGGTTGTCTTTCCAATAGAGTATAGATATTTTTATGTTCTAATAATGTTTTATATATTTTCACCAATATTTACAGGAGCTCTTTGAAGGTTTGAGTGCTGTGATCGAGTGGTTTTCATACGCTGCTCAGATGGTCCTTCCTCTTCTAAGAGGGAACTTATTTTTCAGATATTTTATGATGTGGAACACATTATTAATGAAGTGGCTTGCAAATTTGTCACATTAAAAATTCATAAAAACCTGTGCGTAACAATAAAGAGGTACATTTTATAAATTTTCACACATCATTATTAAAACATGACATTGAAATGACAGTATTGAGATTACTTCAGGTCACTTTAGATTTTTTTTAAAAAAGATTTTCCACAGCTACTTGAGCTTTCAGTGACTGAAGCATATACTAACCTCTATGTCTGGTCATAATTTTTCAAGTTATCTATTCATCACCTCTTACTTTCTTTTATTTGATATTTCCATGTACTTTGATTCGTCTGTTTTCACTGTCATCACTTTTCTTTATATTTTTGTCATTTGCTGTGTGTAATATCCACATACGTGTAATCCAGTTTCATTTTTATCCTCCTGTTTACACCCAATAAAAGCAATTTTTCTTGCTGTTTTGATTTCTTCTATTATTTGTGGAATGAAGCTTACCCCTTTAAATATCTGTTTATGCCTTATGTGCAGTCATATTTTAATATGCTTCCTTCATGTGGAAGCTAATTTCTCAGCCAAAAATCATCTTAGAATCTTTAAATACCCACCGCATCATTTGTTCAGAATTTAACATCAGCTCCGATATTTGAGGCTCATGTTTCTTATGTCTTCCCATATTCCACTGCCAAGTTTAGTCAGTTCCATATCAAGAATGGACTGCCTTTCCTTTAAAAATTTATTTGTAACACCTTTGGTAGAAAGACCTCATGACTGAAACAAGAATTTCAGTTCCATGTTTCACGGTAATGAAGCAGAATGAGGAGCCTGGATGGTTCCAGTGCTTAATAGGTGGTCTGCTTATTGGCAAACAAGCAAGTAAAAGCCTACTATCTATTATTCGTGGAACATGTTTTCTTATCTTAATGCCACTAACATATGTCCTTGATATCACAGGACTTGTGCATTCAGATTTTTTTTTTTAAGTAAGAATAGATCAGGAAAACTGCTCTACTATTCAAATAATGTCAGTTTGTTCTGAGGTTTTAGTCTGAGACATTTGGTGAACACATTCAACACCAATTACATTATTTCTCTGAATGCCTAATGTCATGATTAAAAGTTTTCTTGAATACAATACAGTATTAGCTCTTATAGCATAATTGTTCAAAATTGGAAATGTACACACACATACCCTATACCAAAAGGACAGATATCTTCACCTTAATGTATGTGCTTATACAAGTTGTTTAGCTTCTTGTAAAAGTGTTTTCCTTTGGCTCGTTACTGCCTTTTGTCAGATAATCTTGATAATGCTGTATAATAAATATTTTCTATTTATTAAATGTGTGTATTCCTTCTCTATGTTTTGTTGGAGTTACAATAAGAGAAATAGACTGGTACAAAAAACAGTTATTGTGGTTTGATTTTGCTCACAACATGTCTTCTAGATCAAAGTTGGAGAACATCACACAAAATCTATAGGCCAGGTAGGTAGCAAAGTGGAGTACATTTTGATTATGAGAAAGGTGGTACCTGAAACTCGAAATTTAAAATTAAATCCAGAATTTCAATATTTAATGCTATGGCAGACATTGTCTTTCATCTTTTTGATAGAATGTATGAGGCTTGACAAACTCCTGGATCTCCAGCGGAGCCCTGGAGATGGAGGCATCTGAAGGCTGCCATCTTTGTTTTATTTGTGCCCCACAAGACTCACACCCTAGAGGAACCTGGTTTCTTACTTTGTTGACATCCTCCTTCTATTCCCTTACATTTCAATAGAGACTTCACTGGTCTTCAAAACAAAGAAGCCCATTATCCATCTTTTGCCATAAGATACCTACAAAGTAAAGCATCTACCCAGTGTCATTCAAGGGGAGAACAATGCTCACACGAGGACCACATCCACGAGATTGTGATGTATTTAGATGGTAGGAGCAAACTGTATACAGGAAGGCTGATGTTGAAGAAATTTCCAGAATCAGGGGCTGAGCCACCAGGGGGTTTCTTCACTGTGTCCAGAAAATAGAATGAGAAATCATGAAATGGCAGCTTGATGTCTGAGAGAGAAAAGTCATAGGAGAGAGAATGAGAAACAAAGAAAAGAAGAAGAAAAATGGAAATGTTTCAGATGTGTAGTCCAAAAATACCCTCAGATTGCCCAGTAGGTCATAAGGACCTCCACTTGGAGAGTCCAGAAGCTTCACCATAAGGAAGACATTTGAAGCGGCTGGGTCTGGGATCCAGATACCACAAATGTTGTGTGAGTAACTGCCCCAATAATTTCTATAGAGACTTTCCTGAAAGGGAATCAAAGAGAAGGGAAGCAACATGTTCATTGGCTTACTCTGCGCCAGACATCTTGCTAGGTTCTTTACATTCATTCTCATTTAATCTTTCAGGTACTACTGCTCCATGGATATTTTGGAGTATTGAAATAACTTACCCAGAGTCTCTGAGCTAACATGTGGCCCATAAGCGATTTGAGCTCCATCCTAAGTTGGCCCAGAGCCTGTGAATTCGTGTTCCTCTGCAGAGCTCAGGAGAGTATCCCCTTTTTGTATCCCCATAGCATTTTATTCACATCCTAACTATATTATAGTTTGCCTGTCTCTTTCCCTTAATAGATTCTAAGTTCCTTTTTGTTTGTGATCCATTTTTTTTTTCTAATCTGTGAGACTTCAGGGCAAAGCAGATAATCAGTAAATGTCGAAAAAAGGAAATAAGTGTTGTAACACCATGTAGTTTTCCCAGCTTAATTCTTTGAAGATTTATTCCAAGAGCCTTGTGGGGTCCAGAGCTCTATATTTCCACCTACTGATCCTAACTCTGCCAACTGGAACAAGACATGTTTTCATCATGAAAAACAAGCTCTCCTTTTGGCATCAGAAAGAGCTGTCCCACTGAGCAGCAGGTCTGACTTTCTTGCAGAAGAGCATGGCAATACTCAGTGTCCATTGAGCCCAGCCAGAGGTCTGGCAAAGCAATAATAGGTGTGGGAAACAGTGTCCTCTTCAGGAGAACTGCCAGTAACACACAGACTACTAAAGTGGGACCCCCATTAAAGTGAAGGCAAATAACTCATCCACAGGGAAAACATGGGCTGGAGGTTCCTTCCTTACAGAAGTACATATCCTTAGACAAGGTAAAAGGTGAAACTAGTCACCAAGGCTTGTTGGGGCATGGAAGAAAGGGAGAGCCTAGTTTAGGGATTTGAAGTAATGACACCATTAAACCAAAAACTGGCTTGATTTTCTCATGGTACCTTGAGAAGCAAGGCTTATAAATTAATAAGAGAAAAAGAAGAAGAAAAGAAGAAGAAGAAGAAGAAGAAGGAGAAGGAGAAGGAGAAGAAGAAGAA